GATCACTATCTCAATCAAAATTTTAGCAGGATTTTTTTTTTTTTTGTAGAAACTGAAAAGCTGATTCTAAAATTTATATGGCATTTAAAAAGGCCCAGAGGAGCCTAAACTGTTCAGAAAAAGTAGGACAAAGTAGCAAGATGTATATACCTGATTAAAAGTTAACTATACAATTACAGAAATAGAGTGTGGTGTTGATGTCAGAATAAGCAAATAGGTCAATGGAGCAGAACGGAAAGTCCAGAAATAGAAGCACACGTATGTACAATCATTTAACTTTAGACCAGTTGGGAAATGAGGAAACGGAGAAAGGACTGTCTTTTTAACAAATGGTGCTGAAAACCTTAAATCTCTATATGGAAAACAACAAACATCAACCCTTACCTCACACCATGCACAATAATTAACTCTATAGAAATCCCAAATTTACACTTAGAATTTAAAATTATAAAACTTCTAGAATAAAAATTGTAGAAAATCTTTGCAAAGTTGGGTTAGAATTTCTTTTTCTTTTTTCTTTTTCTTTTTCTTTTTTTTTTTTTTTTTTTTTGAGAGGGAGTCTCGCTCTGTTGCCCAGGCTGGAGTGCAGTGGCGGGATCTCAGCTCACTGCAAGCTCCACCTCCCGGGTTTACGCCATTCTCCTGCCTCAGCCTCCCGAGTAGGTGAGACTACAGGCGCCCGCCACCTCGCCCGGCTAGTTTTTTGTATTTTTTTAGTAGAGACGGGGTTTCACCATGTTAGCCAGGATGATCTCGATCTCCTGACCTCGTGATCCGCCTGTCTCGGCCTCCCAAAGTGCTGGGATTACAGGCTTGAGCCACCGCGCCCGGCCTGGGTTAGAATTTCTTAGATAGGACCCGGTCACCACGAACCATAAAATAAACACTGATAAAATTTACTTCATCAAAATATAAAACTTCTTCTTCATGAAAGACACCGTTAAGAAAACAAAAAGGCAATTTACAATGACAGGCAGAAAATATTCATAATAAGAGTACTCAAATAATCCTTACAACTCAAGAATAAGAAGAAAACAAATTTTTAAATGTACAAATAATTGAATAGATGCTTCATAGAAGAAAGTATATGAGGCCGGGTGTGGTGGCTCATGCCTGTAATCCCAGCTACTGGGGAGGCTAAGGCATGAGAACCGTTTGAACCTGGGAGGTGGTAGTTGCAGTAAGCCAAGATCAGGCCACTGCACTCCAGCCTGTGCAACAAAGTGATACTCTGTCTCAAAAAAATAAAAAATTAAAAAATTTAAAAAAAAAGTATATGAATGTCCATAGGACACAAAAAGATTCTCCACATGACTAGTCTTGAGGAAATTTTAATTTTAAAATGACAATGTACCACCATATAGCCACAGAACAGCTAAAATAAAAAAAACTGGTAATTCCAAGGATTAATGAGGATGTAGAGAAACTGGAACTCTCATATTTTGCAGGTGGATACGCAAAATGGTACAACTAACTTTTAAAAACACTTTAGAAGTTTCTTATAAAAATAAACATACATTTACCTGACTTACCTCCACACTCTTGATATCATAGTATATAACACAGCTTTGAAAATATTTGTATTTTTTAAAGCATATGTAATATTAATATGTGAACTGATTAGAATTATAGTGATAATGTTTTTTTAAAAAACGTACACTTACAATAAAACTCAGCAATTCAACTTCTAGGTAATTATCCAAGAGAAATACTTATATCCACTCAAAAAATTGTTTATAAATGCATAGCAGCTTTATTCATAATATTCCCAAATTGGAAATAACCCAAATGTTTATCAATTGATTAATGAATAAAAATAGTTGTGGTATTGGTATATCCTTATCATGGAATTCTTGGTAATAAAAAAATTGAAACACACAACATGGATGGCTCTCAACAACATTAAACTATGTGAACGGAGTTAGAAACAAAACAATACATAATGTGTTATTTAATTTTTGTGAAGCTCTAGAAAAGACAAATCTCATCAGTAGTGGTAGGAAGCAGATCAGTGGTTGCCTGGGACCATGATGAATAGGTATTGACTGCAATGAGCATAAAGAAACTGTGCTGGGTAAAGATATATTCTGTGCTATGTCTGTGGTAGTGATTAAATGATTGCATAAATTTGTAAACTTGTATACTTAAAATTGATAAATTTTATTGTGGATATATTATATATCAATAGATGAATGGCACAAAATAGCTCAAAATTAAACCCATTCATATATAGTCTGTTGCTTTTTGGCAAAAGTAAATTTCATTTTAAAATAAACATACAATAATAATAAAATAAACTGCAATATTAGGCAATGATATGCCAAATTAGAGTGATGAGATCTAAAGCATCATTGCATTAAGATTCTAAGGACAGGCTAGGCGTGGTGACTCACGCCTGTAATTCCAGCGCTTTGGGAGGCCACGGTGGGTGGATCACGAGGTCAG